TTTGCAATAATCTAAGTGGCTATCAAAGTTATAAGATAAAGTTTATCATTATATTATATTCATAAGATCATTATGAATATAATGATAAACCCCTTTTCTTTTGAAATTTTGATGCTAAATTAATGAGAAAACAAAAGCAATGAAGAATTTCAGACATGATAGAGTGAGTGTTACCCAGACTTGCCTTCTTGCTATAAATAACTTTACAAGTGAACAAAGTGTATAAGGCAACTCTTTCTTGTACTGGAAAGCTGGCAGCTTAAGATACACTCTATGATAATCCAGATATACATTAACAGATAAGAACTTTCAATCAGCTATTACAAATATGTTTGAAGACCTAAAGGAAAACATAATCTCAATGAGTGAAAAATAGGAAACTTCAGCAGACAAATGAAAATTATAATAAATAATCAAATGGAAACTCTAAAACCAAGAAATGTACAATAGCATTCACTTCACAGAATGGGTTTAAAATCTGAGATAGAAAATAACAGACACTGAACTCAGAGAAAGATCCATGTAATCTAGCCAATGGGAAGAACAGAAGGACAAAAAAGATAAAAAATAAACAGAACTTTAGCAACCTATAAGACAATGTCTAACATTAATGTATTTGAGCTCCTAGAAGAAAGATAGAATGAGGTAAACAATATATTGAAAAAATAATTTTTAGAAGTCCTGAATTGGGTGAAAAACATTAATCTACAGATCTAAGAAGCTCAGCAAACTACAAGTAGAATAAATACAAAGAAAACCACACAGGGACTTTGTGGTCAAATTAGTGAAAAACAGAGAAAATATCGATTGGTCACATTCAGAGTAAAATGAGACATCAGTTACAAAAAAAGGAAGAAGAAATGGAATTCCAAGAAATGGAATGAAAGTGGTGAAATGAAGATAAAATAGTCATTAAGGTGTGGAGGAATTGAACAAAAAAGAAAAAAAAGGAAAAAGGACTCAAGGACACAGACAACAGTGTGGTGATTGCTGGGGGTGGGTATAAGGTGACTAAATGGTAATAGAAAAACTATGATGAAGATTAAATTTTAAAAAGAAATAAAAAATAATTAAAAAGTATAAACAGAAAACAAAAAATCAACATATTGTCCTATTTCCTTCTTGCAGTTTTTTTTTGTGTAGATATTGTATATGATTTTTAGCCCAAATTGAGGTCATACTACATATCTTAGAAAGTGTTTTGTGTTCCCCTAATGGCATGTCATAAGCAATTTCTAATGTTATTCTAAAACATGTTTCAATTGTTACAAAGTATTTAATAACATAACTGTATAATGATGTTAATCAAAAAAAAAGTCAACCCAAACTCTATATACAGTAAACTATCCTTAAAACACAGGGGTAAAACAGAGACATTTGCAGGTGAATATAACCAGAGAGAATTAATCCCCAGCACACCTGCAGGAAGGAATAAAGACAGAAGTAAAGACAGAAGGAATAAAGATGGGAAAATATAAAAGACCAACTTCACTTAGTTTTTTTCTTTTAATTTCCTTAAAACACAAGTGATTGTTTAAACAAAAATCGCATCATTGTACTGAGAAGTTCATAACACAGGTGGGAGAAAAACATGAAAATAATCCAAAGGACTAATGAGTGTACATGGAACAATATTAATTCTAGGTAGCCAGTGGTAAGTTAAGGATGCATACAGTAATTGCTAGAGCAATTTCTAAAAAGATACAAAGAGGTTATATAAAAAGCCAATAGAAAAAGAATAAAATAAAATATTATGTTATCTGGTAAGCCCAAAGGTAGCAGAAAACATGAAACAAAAAACAGATCAGAAGAGGAAATAAATTGCAATATGACAGAATAAATCCTACCTTACAATAGATATCCTGAGTATAACAGAATTTAAAATTGTAAGTCAAAAACATGATACCTAGAAAAGCATAAAATATATGAAAAGTAAACATTTCATTGTAAAATAAAATTCTGACATTCTAAATAAGAGAAGTCCAAGGGAAATTAGAAAATATTTTAACTAAATAATTTTTTAAATTGGCTCTTTGAACAGATTAATAAAACTGGCAGACCCCGAGCCCTGGCTGGCGTAGCTCAGTGGATTGAGCGGGGGCTGCGAACCAAAGTGTCGCAGGTTCGATCCCCAGTCAGGGTACGTGCCTGGGTTGCAGGCCATGACCCCCAGCAACCACACATTGATGTTTCTCTCTCTCTCTCTTTCTCCCTCCCTTCCCTCTCTAAAAATAAATAAATAAAATCTTTAAAACAAAAAACTGGCAGACCCCTAGCAAGACTCTTTTTCTACCAAAAAAAAAAAAAAAAAGACCAATATAAGGAATAAAAAAGGAGATATAACTACAGACCCTATAGACATCAAACTAATAAAAGAATATTAGAAACAACTTTACACCAATAAATTTGCCAAGTCAGTACATTTGTACAATGGAATACTTCTAAGCAAACTCACACACAGAATGACAGGGACAGATCTCACAGCTATTATCTTTGGTTGGGGGAGACAAGCACAAAATCTCATGTGATGCTCTAAAACTAGCAACGCTCATCTATGTTGGGTGATAAAATCAGATCAGTGGTTATGTGGAGCAGAAGGTCAAATGAGTAAAATTCACCGGCAAGGGACACATATGATATTTCTGGGATAATGTAATATACACAATGTCAAGACTCATCACATTGTACACTTAACACCTGAATCTTACTGAATAAAATTTACATCAAAGAAATTAATTTTTAAGAAAAAATAAAAATTACCACCAAAATAGGAAGCAATGTGAATTTAGTTCAAAATTTTTTAATTTAAAAAATTCTTCAGAAGTTTAAAAATATTTCATTTCTATTACATACCTTCTTAACAGAATAGGAAGCATGCACTATGGGCCAGGAAGTGTGCTAGTCGTTTTCACCTATGATACTTCACAAAGAGTGTGTCTGCAATTCATGATAAGATCTAGCACAGTGCCTTGGGAGACAGAAAAAGCAGGGAAGCTGGAGCCAGAAGACCTGAGTCAAATAATGACTATATGTCATCTCTTGGTTTTGTAACGTTGGGCAAGTCACTTAATTTTAAATTTCATCAACTACAGGACTGACATGAAGATTAAAAAAGTATTTTAGACACTGATTAAATGAAGGAGATAAACAACAATGTGAACAGGGCTATAGGAGACGGAAGATACAGGGGAGAGCGTGTTTCCAGTCATGTGCTTGTCTGTGGATGGGTGGAGGAGAGGGAACAGCAGAGACATCCACGCATGATGACTCAACACCAAGTTCGTATCATGAGCAGTGGGTGCAGTGATAGGACAGGGTCAGCTGAGGGCCCAGACTGCATATACTTCCATTGTGACCTGAACAACAGCATTCTGGACCAACAATCCCTTGTCCCGGCAAGGAGCACGAAATGGCAGGCTCCTCAGCCACTTCAGACTCCAAGGGGCTTTACCCAGTTTCCTAAAAGCTGCAAGGAGCTTTCTATTACTATAGATCTTTGAAGTGCCAACATGACTGATGACCATCCATTCCTTCTAATCCTGAGGTTTTCGGAGATTTTGCTCTAAACGAGACAACCAGAAGAGAGGTCTTCTGGATATGGCAGCAGTAACCAGAGCGATGCCATCACTGAGGCCCAGCAGGCTGATCCTTGGTCGAATTTTAGGGAACAATGTGAGGCCTGACAGAGTATTCTAAAAGTACCTGAGTGTAAAAATCTATAGGGTGACTACAATAGAGGCTCAGATTTAAGACCTGAGAAGTCTCATATCTTCACCCAAATACTAGTAGGGCACCTAGAAATTCAACGTTCAATCACGGAACAGTGTGATAAGGTTTTATCTGACAAAGACTTCAACAGGATGCCATGGGGGCACAATGAGGAGGTAATGAACCACGCGGTGGGGAGGCAGCGGCATTGGGAGACATTCTTTGAGGAATGCGACACCTGTGCTGAATCCAAAGCCAGTAAGGAGGTATCTGGGCAGCAGGTATTTCAAGGCGGGGGTCACAGCACAAATACTCAAATGGGTTGAATGGTGCCCCTCAAAGAAAACTGCAAGAAATTCCAGAGCTGGAGCAAACAATGTGCAGACAGAATGGGGAGATGGCAAAGGCAGGGTTTGGGGAAGGACCGGTTTTAAAAATCAGGCTGGAGGAATTTACAGTTTACCTCGAGATGAAGAAAAGCCACTGAAGGATTTCAAGCCAGGAGTATCACAATCAAATTAGCATTTTTAAAAGTATCACAATCAAATTAGCATTTTTAAGAGATCGTTCTGGCAACCTTGAGGAGGACAGAATGGAAGGGGACAAAAGTACAGACAGGGAAACTAGTTAGGGGACTGTTGAAGAGACCCCCCGTGGGGAATGGCAGGGGCCTAACACAGCAGCCCTCGGAATGGAGAGACGTGTTAGATACAGAGAAGAGGCCCAGCACCTTAGGCTGGTTCCCTGATTTACGTGGAGGGGAGAAAAAGAAGGAATCAAGCACAACTCCTGAACTTCAAGCTTGGATGTGTACTAGAATAACTCAACCTACATTTGAAAGCATCAAAAACAATGATCCTACACTAAAGTTTTAAAAAACGAATCACCACAGAGGCACAGGTTTCCTTAGACAATGTGGATACACCATCACTAAGAAAAATCAAATCAAACCCTTAAATTCACAGAGAGAAGTAAGCCAGAGCTAAAGAAATTCCTGTCTAACATGTTGATGAGTGAATAATCAAATAACAAGGAAGGCAATTCACTAACAAGAGAGCCATCTACTGCCTTACAAGGATAGTGCAGCAATGAAATGCCACCAAAAAATGTGGAAGAAAGCCAAGTGTTTTAACACTTCACATCGTACATGTAGTCACAAAATATCTGACCCCTCCCCCACAAAAAATCTAAGTGGTTAGCACTTTTAGCTAATAACCAAATATTTTCACTTACTTATTTCACCTAAAAACATCAATTCAATATATACCATCATTTTAACAGAATATGCTTACCTGCCATCATTGCTATCATACTGGCTTTGTAGACATTAGTAAGAGATCCAAGTTCTCCTGTCGCTAAGATGGTTTTGAGATGAGCTGTCCCACAGGCCTTGCGAAACTGACGAATCTCATCATACAGGGCTGGAGAAAGAAATAATTGAGTCAGTTACAAAGCAGGCAAGTGATAACATGACTTGGCAGCCCTTTAGAGCTGGTAGAACCCATCTCAGATTTAGGAAACATAAAACATTTGTCACTTTCTAAAAACCACCCCAATTTAACATAGCCTAGAGCATTCTGTTGCAGTTCCCATCCTGCTACAAGGAATGCTAAGTTTGCTACCATGAAACCATTTCTGAGCCCTGGCCCCAGGTCCAGAGCCATGAAGCTTTTAAAATATCATTATAATGACATGCAAATTTCCAGTAATTTCCACCTCTTCCAGATGACAGATACTTAAAAAAAGAAAAAATTTACCTACTATACATATGGGGGCATACCACTTTGCAAACTAAAGAAAAAAATCTTCAGGTCCTTATTAATTCTTCCATTCACACATAATAAGTTGTCTTGTTGGAATATAAAGCAGGCTTTTCTGGAGAGCTCAGCTAATGACAATGAAGACATAACAGCTTGTCCCACTCTCTGCCGGGGTATGTGCCTACAAATCTGACTAAAAGGTGCTGCCTCAGCACTGGATGTGTGGGGGGAACATGTGCAGATGCAGCCTGAGCTATGAATCCCAGACCCTAGACCCACATCTGGCTTTCCTGGGCTCCATACAGCATCCTGAAAGCAGCTTGACAGTTACATATAAAACTATACACAACAAAATAAAATTGAAACAAAAATAAAAGCAAAACACTTCAGGTTCTAACTAACAGAATTTTAGTAAATGAAATGAGTATAGTAAGAATAAAAGCTTAAAAAAAACTATTTTACAGCATTTGGTCCTGACACTAGTGAATGTGGGGTTTCTCTCGCCTTCCATCAGGTTGGCCATATTCATTTCTTCAATTTAAACTATTGCAAATTAGGACTAAGATCGGGCTTTTTCTTTCTTCTGTGTGTGTGTGTTTCATGAGAAGTAGTTTCATAAGCACACAGACTAAACTGAGCAGAAAGGAAACATTCATATAAGGGTTGGGATTAGGGTAAAAAAATTTTAATACAAAAAGGAAAGTTCTGCAATTCACAAGTTTTCTAAAGTACATATAAAAGACTTAAAAGACAGCAACATCAGTCAAACCCACAAAAGTTATAACAAGGACAAAACTTGTCTTCCCAATCCTAGATAACCTGAACTTAAGCAGAAGCTTGAAAGTGAAAACAATACAGATAAAACCAAATATTCTATTACAAGACGCGAAGTAAACTTCAGTGATTGCTGTCTCAAGAGATGGTACTTGTAGATTTTTAAGAAAAGATGGGGTATTTTCACAAATCCCTAATAATCTGTAGTTCTGGGTATTAGACATGACCTGAGATGCGACACCACCGGCCTTTCCCTGCCTCTCCTACCTAAACTGTGAGAACAACATCTTACCTGCGCATCTAATGTGCCAACATGTGTGAGAATGCTATGAGGCATAAACAGTGATGATAAAAAGACTACGTGATGATAATAATTTATATTCTTTTAACTCATTGCCTGACTTACTGAATCAAAAATGAGGGGGTTTTCTCTAAGAAGTAGTGACGACGAGATCGCTTTATCTAAAAATTCAAAAATGCTAATCCAGAGTTAACTTGTGATTTAATTAATGACTTTTCTTCCACAGTACAGTGTTGCCATCAAAAGCAAGCTGGAAAGTCAACAAATGTGGATTTAAAACCCAACTCCACCACTCACTGTGTGACCTTGGGCAAGTTACTTCTCTTAGCCTCGGTACCACCTCAAAGTGTCAATAATAACATTTATTTTATAAGGTTGTTATGAGGATTAAAAAGATATATATATCTCTTATATATATATATCTTTATATATATATCTTTTATATATATCTTTATATATATATCTTTTATATATATATATATATATATATATATATATATGAAGTACTTAACACATTGCCTGGCTTATTATAAGCACTCAAAACATGTAATCCTTATTAAGCTCAGAATGCTAGTAAAATGAGTTCTGTTAAGTGTTGTGTGATGAAAGTTAAATCTTGTTTCGTGGACTGATCCCTGTACTGCACTGAAATTTTTTATAGGGATTAGTGCTTATAATCAGTAAGCCATCAGATAAGGCTTGAAAGTGTTTTATTACAGCACTTGTTAAAGTGAACTTTGGCCTACATAACAAAATTCTTAAAACACTGATCTCGACCATATTTTGGACAAAAGCACCATCCTTTTTCTAAAGAGTACTACCTTTTGATATCTGGTGAATTTCTCCATCTACAAGTAAAATCAACCAGAAAACCTGGACATGTTTTATGACTCAATTATCAGCCACCTGGAAGGTATGCTCTTTAATCCATGATCCAAACAGAATGAACCAAAGATGATCACTTAGAGCTGAACTGGACGCATCAAATACACAACCAGTGCCGTTTTAGCCTTTGACTGCCAACTCCTCAAACCATTTTACTGACCTATTTCACCACATTAAGAGGGTCAGGTTTTTCTGAGCAAATATCTTCATCTGTGAAGTTCAACATTAGGAAAGTCGCCGCTTCCTTCTATTACAATTCTTCCCCGAGTATACCAGAACAGTTGCATAAAAAAGCATATCTAATGTGGCCTTTTTAGTTTCTAGTTTCAGGGTGCACAGTGTGAGACAAGCTCGGGAACGCAGTTCCTAACCCTGTTGACCCAACAATTTCACTGCTGGGATTATATCCTAAAAACCCTGAAACACCAATGCAAAAGAACCTATGCACCCCAATGTTTATAGCAGCACAATTTACAATAGCCAAGTGCTGGAAGCAACCTAAGTGCCCATCAGTAAATGAGTGGATCAAAAAACTGTGGTACATTTACACAATGGAATTCTAATGCAGCAGAAAGAAAGAAGGAGCTCCTACCCTTTGTGACAGCGTGGATGGAACTAGAGAGCATTATGCTAAGTGAAATAAGCCAGGCAGTGAAAGATAAATACCATATGATCTCACCTTTAACTGGAACCTAATCAACAAAACAAACAAGCAAGCAAAATGGAACCAGAAACAAGGAAATAAAGAACAAACTGACAGTAACCAGAAGGGATGGGAGAGATAATGGGGGAAAGGGTGAAGGGTTTATAGGAACAACTATCAAGGATACATGGACAACAACAAGGGGGGTGGAAACAGGGGAGGGAAGTGGGGAAGGTTGGGGTGAGGGAGTCAGGGGGAAAGGCAAAAAACTGTACTTGAACAACAATAAAAATCAAAAGTATTAAAAAAAAATAATAACATGGCCTTTTTAAAATGGGGCCTGGGCTCCATCATGGGACTGCTTCAACATGGGCCTCTGAATCTTAGAGAGTGATACAAAGATGAAAGAATGGTTACAGGCTTTCATTAGTACTGCAGCATCAGCAATGGCACCAGATGGAAGAGCCCAGTGGCCACAGCCAGCAGCATGGCACCGCACCGGCCAGTGGCAGCAGCACCAGCAGGGGCCCTGTGACCAAGCTCCTCCCCTGGCTAAGGCTGGCTGTATCCTCTGCTCTTTACTGGACATACTTGTTTCCCAAGCCTAGTATTTCAGGCTTCCTACTACTATAGTGAGTTACTATATATCCTCCTAATAAATCCCTTTCAGTTTACTTAATCAGAATTGGTTTTGTTTTCAACTCATAAGTCTAGCATAACAAATATTTACTGAGGAAGGATGGAATAGCAGAAAAGAGTGTTGTGCCCCAAATGTCTGGGTTCATATCCTGTCTGTAAAACTTACTTGTTGTTTGATTTGGGCAGTTCAATCTTTGTCCATTTCCCCATCTATAAAATGGGGATAATAGAGGTACCAACCCTTCGTGGAGTTATTTCAAGCATCAAATAGGTTAATACATATAAAGTGCTAAGGACAGCATTTGTCACGTAGTTAATGCACAAGGAATGGCAGCTACTTGTTTTCCTATTGCTGGTAGCGGTGGTAGCGCTGTTCCTTTGTTGCTGAGTGCTTCTTAGGTTCATAGTACACAGGGACTGACAAAAGCAGAGGACACCATGACCTATGTATAAAATTTCTCTCCAGGGGAACTGGCAGAGCAGTCTGGAGGAGAGAAAGTTTACTACATCACAAACAATGTGCTAAGACCTCAGAGCCCACGCTCCTTTGGATAACACAGACTTCTGGGTTAATAAGACAGTTTGGGGTAATAAGACTACTTACTCCATTTGTAAACTTGTAGGAATGACTCAATTTCCTAAGCCTAATTACTTAGGGGGCCACAGTTTGCTCATGTATTTTTCTGAAGATTAAATAAAGTAATACATGTGGCCAGAACAGCATCAGGCATACTGTAAGCATTTAATCATTCAATACTAGTTTTCCATATTTTTCCTAACATACTTCCAGGAATGCAAAAATAACTTTATAATACAAAACAAAGCAAGCATTGCTGTAATACTTGTGAAAGTACATTTAGCATTTACAAATCTTGCATATAAGAAAAAGAGACCACTCGAACACAAGCCATAGAAGCCACAAGAAAACTTACTGAAGCGTCTAGAGAGTTCTGAGCACCTTGGCATGACCATGACAGACACCTCAGAACGAGACAGATGGTAAATGCAACTCAAAGAACTTGATGGCTGTAATGTAACTCAGACAATCTCAAATCATTATGTCCTTTAACATGCTCGACTGACACTTTCCTCTCAATATAAGCAAGCAAAACAATGAATAAAACTAATGGGTGGGTTTCCCCCTACATTAACAGCAAAGGGCAGCAGCAGGATGTGGATTTATATAATTGTGACGAAACTATACGTGTGGAGAAAATTACAAGTGAAGTAATAAATGCAAGAGACCCTCTTTCCAAAAAATTCATCATTACTCAAAAGAATGAAAAATACCCTATGTTTTCAAAGCATCTTCCTTTAAAGATTCTCAAATTGTTTTCAAAGCATCCAGGGACACTCTTACCAGAGGATCTGGTAGATCATTAACTAGCCTGAGTACATGGTACTGGGCTAGGGAGGCAG